GTAAAACAAAGCAGCTGTCAAAATAGTGAACTTTTGCTTATGAGCGTGGTCTTCAAGAGCTATCCTCTATCATCAAGAGCAATCAGCGATGCAGTTAACAAAGGATAATGTTAAAAAAAGTGCTACTGCGATTGTAGAAGACAGTTGTGTGTGGCCATTATACCACAGACAACAAACTAATCAAGTCCAAGTGTGTCGGCTGCTAAGTCAAGACGTCTACGATCACTCTATGCTATTTATATACCGATATTAGCGAGCAAGATTATTGCTTTTATTTAATTAGTTACACTTCACCGAAAAATGCAGAAATATAATTGGATGCAAACATTAGATAAAAAACATTAGATAAAAAATCTGCAACGTATCAATCGTTTCATCATCAATTACAATAGAAAAATCATAGAATTAATCATTATTATTATTACATTATTACCCAAATTTATTTTAGTTCGATTTTTATTTATTTTAAATAAATTGACTTGCTGAAAATATATTCAATGGATTTTATACATAATCTATATGTTACTAGCATTACTGCAAATGTATTAAACTCCTTTCATCATTCCTATTATATCAATCATATGTTAGCATATATCTCATTCCCTTATATTAAATACTATGTTCCTTTTTGTTTTTTTTGTTAATTAAAAATAAAAATATAACTTTAATAATTTTTATGTTCAAATTTTTTATATTATCTATGTATTATTATTTTATATATTAATTTATAAAATATTTTTTATGGTTAAATTTATTCAATGAAATTCATAATAAATTTAATTGCTACATTTGTTATTCAGTCCAAAAATACACTTGATTAAAAATTTAAATTTCAAAAATTACATTTTTTTATTTCTAGCATTTAAACTTAAAAATTTACCTATATTTATATTAATTTTTTATATAATGTATGTATTATTATTTTATATATTAATTTAAAATATTTATTTGGTTCAATCTAATTCATTCAATTTAATTTATAATAAATTTAAAGGCTATTTGTATGGTCAGTTCACGAATTCAGTTGATTAAAATATTTAATTATTGAATTTAAAAATTGTCAGGAGGTAACCCTTTTTTCAAGGAAATTAATTTTTTTTATATGAAATTATAATTTTTTTAATAATAAAATTTAAATTACTGTAAATTTAAGGGTTACATTTTTATAAAAATTTCAGTTATACCATAATTCGTTTTTAAAAGTTTGTACAAAAAACTTATAAATAATAACAAAAATATTTGAGACTATTACAGAAAAATAATTTTAGCTCATTTTTTATAGATTGAATTTTGTTTTTTATTATATGGTACGTACAGTACGTAGAATACACATAAGTACTATAAATCAATGCACTTTTTCAAACACTGTGCCTATCATGTGTAATTTTATTACACAAGGAGGCTGCGTTCGATATACGCTGCAAGAAATTCTAATAAGAAAAATTGTTTATTTTTCGAACTTCGAAGCTAGGCTTAGAATGAAATCAGTTATTTCATACTCGAAAGCATTTTTACCCACAAGAAGTGCGTCATTAAATGCGCTACTATTAAACATTTACAATAGAAATACATTAAGTGGCCACAACAATAACAACAATTCAGTTCGAGTCTTTTTATACTTCAATTAAACAAGATTGAAGAATTAAGAATAACTTATAAGCAAGTTTTGCTAACTAATTTATTTATAATTTTTTTTCTTTTTCTTTTTCTTTTTCTCAATAATTTTTTATTATGTGTGTGGACTTGTAAATTCAACAAGAAAAATGTCTTACGTACGCTGTTGAGCCATGTACGAATGCAATATTTTATTTTTATGAGTTGTGAATAATTACTTGCATATTTTTTTTGGAAATAAATATTTTTTATTTTTATTTTAGCATTTTAAAACATATTATTTACATATGTTACATGATTTCACTTTAAACCCAGATTACATCAACAATCATTGCCTAAAATTTATGCAAAAACAAAAAACTGTTTAGTAAAACGCAGTCAACCAAAAACAATCTTAAAAAATTATTTTT